TTGCCAACCCCAGAAAATTCTGTGTCCTGGCATCCCATGTATTTTATGGGAGTCATCCCACTTCATGCCTGCGAGAGCAAGCTGCAAATCATTTTGATCCTTATCATATGTTGGAGAATTACACTGAATCTCAGGGAAAGTAGTGTGCAACCAAGAAAGCAAGAGATTAGAAAAGACATCCTTCAGGAAAATCTACTTGTGTAACTGAGTCCTCTTCTGAACATACTTATAATTATTCAAATGACTTTTCCTTCTGATTGACTTTTCCTATTTCCTTGCTTTGGATAGATACTTGCTTCCTAGAAGTAGCTTGAACTCTTTTGTCATTTCTATCAATCTTTTTTGTCCGTCTTTGTATACTGAGATATTTGTGTTAAGTTCATAATAAAGAAGGATGTTTTATTAAAATAGTAAGTATGTATATAAGGAAACCACAAAAGCACCCAAGTAAATAATAATGTTGGGGGGTAAACAAGTTGTGGTATATGAATGCAATAGAGTATTACTGCACTATAAGAAATGATAGGCAGTTATGGCTAAAGTAGAGAGAAGCTGGCTTTGAACTAATGAAGACCTTGTTTCAAGGTTGCTGTAGGACACATTGACTGTGGTACCCCTGGGTAAGCCACTTTACTTCTCAGTGCCACAGGAAACTTTTTTTTTTTTTGGCTAGGCAATGGGGTTAAATGACTTGCCTAGGGTCACACAACTAGTAAGTGTTATGTATCTGAGTTTGGATTTGAACTCAGGTCCTCCTGACTTCAGGGCCAGTGCTCTAGCCATTGCACCACCTAGCTGCCCCTGTGAAATTACTTTGTAAACAATAAAGCATTACACAAATGTAAGTTATTTTTAAAAATAAGCTATTTTGCTTAAACCTCTACTGCAGAAATGGCTTGTCTTTGCCCTGCATCATTTTTAAAAGTCAAAATCATAATTCTTTACAGTGTTTTTTTTAATAGTTAAAAGCCAAAGGAAGAAGAAAGAACACAATTGTTCGTATTTTAAAATAAAGACGTTCAGTTATTTAAAAAAAAAATTGGACATAGGGAAAGACACTGGAAATGGGGAAGCATGTAGGGAGCTCTAGGCTAAAATCAAACTTCAGGATAAATACAAGCTCTAGGATAAAGCTTCTCTTTTTTAACTTTCAAAGCCCTTCACAGCTTGACTCCTACCTAGGCTCACTGCATGCTATTTTCCTCATTCATTGTATGTTCCAACCTGTATATGACTTACCATTTCTTGTCTGTGTGTCTTTGTGTAAGTTGTCCTTCATGCCTGGAATATACTCTCTCCCTAATTCACCTCATTGCATCCCTTGCTTTCTTCAAAGCTCAGCTCAAACACTTTTTCCTAAGGAAATCTCTTAGTCTCCCCTCCCCTCTCTCTTGAGCTCCTTTCCCCAATCTTCAAATGTGTAGCAAGATGGTGTGTGTTTGTGTGTGATACAAGGTATGAACAGCACTTCTCAGGTGCACTCCCAAGGAATCACACCAACCTCCACCCCAGTCAGTGGACTCTCAGTTTCTAAGACAATATAATGGGCGAGGAGAGGCGACAGATACATATATAAGCATGTTAAAATACCTAACAGGTAATTTGTTTTGGTAGGAGAGGAAATTGCAGCTGGGGATATCAGGTAAGGTCTCATCATAGAAGGAGGAATTTGAGCTGAGCTTAGAAGGAAACTAGGAATTTTAGGAAGGAGTCTCTTCCAGGCTTCGAGGAGAATTCTTGTGCAAAGATAGGGTGGAATGTTGTATCTGCAGAATAGTAAGAGACTTAATTTTGCAGAGTGCTTAATGGGAAGTGAGGCATAATAAAGGTGGAAAAGTAAATTGAAGCCAGGGCTTTAAATGCCCTGAAGGCATTTAAGGGGATTCATTTTCAGATGGGTTGGATCAGATAATTTCTGAGGCTCCTTCCTACTCTGAAATTGTTATTCTTTACCAATATGATCAGAAGAAAGAATACCAAAGACAAACAGTATGTGTGAAAATGATATTTTATTATAATCTCAGTATTTCAAATAAAATAAGTTAATTACACCAAATTTTCAAAATGCATTGGTGAATCAAAGCTTCAGCCTTACAAATGGTTTATACATATAACTATGCATTTATGTATATGTGTATATATACACACATATGTAAATATATACATAAACACGTATACGTAAAAGATATATGGATATTTTCCTTTAAAATAAAGTGCCAGAATTTTTAGATTTAGGAGGTATGACAGGGAGAAGTGACTCACTTATTTCAATAAAGAGTAATTAAAGGTTTAAAAAAGAACCTAATGAATTTTTAAACACACATCCCTCAAATCTCTTACTTTGAGAGTGTAGGTTAATGGATGTACAGCACTGGACTGAGTGACATAGCTAACTCCCAGTTATTCATGTATTGATTATTAAATTCTTTGAGAGTGGGGATTGTTCCTTTTCTTGTATTTGAATCCCTAGCAAATAGCACAGTACCTGGCACATAGCAAATGCTTAATAAATGCTCATTGACTAAAGTTGTTGTTTGGCTTCTCCCCTTCCCTGCTGCCACCCATTTTCTTTCTCCTTCCCTCATTGCTCTTTTGGGACTTTACCTTTTTTTTCACCACTTTCACCAAAGGTGAAAAATTAGACAATTTTGTTTTTTGCCTCCTCCCTCTGGGTCCCCCCACCAAATTCTGGTGAGTTTGTAAGGGTGTATGTATATGATTACTGGATCACATGCAGTTTCAAATTTATCTCTGGATGGCATTTATCCAAATGGACCTCACTAGCATAGATGAATGAGTTGACTATAGGAAATTCTGAATCCCAGCCAGAGCTCTATGAAAATATATCTTATCACTATTTTAAATTGAGGTTTAATATAAATTAATGCTGACATTGCCAACTTGACAGCTTTAGGATTTCCTCTACTCTGGAAGAAATAGCCATTCTTCCATATTTGCTGGCAAATTAGTGCATACCACTGTTAGAGGTTTGCAGTTTCAGTAATAGAATATGATATATGATATATGAATTGATATGGCATATCAATTCATTTCACATGAATTTCCAATTGTAATGAAATAGAAATTTTTTTAATGCTTAAAGTACCTGGTTTTTATTTGGTTAACCAAGAATTAATAAACAAACCCTATTGTGAAATCCTGAATATTTTTATAACACTTATCTAGTAACTTTCCTTATTACAGGATGGCCCATTATCACTCCCAAACCTTATTTTAGCCAAGAGCTTCTTCCTCTTCTTCACCCCAGTCACTTACGAGGGCTATCAAAAAAAAAAATGCTAAAATGTCATCCATTTTGTTCTCACTACTTCTCCCATCTATAACGGAGATTCTAATGAGCATGAAAAATATTCTACATGTAGACAGCAGCAGGGAAACAAAGAGGTCTGAACATTAAATGCAAATATTTTGAGGTAAATAACATCACACTTTTCCTCTGTACCATTTTATCCATGTTTCCATAAAATATCTGCATTACCTTGTATCCCTTACGGGCAAAGTGTCTTGCAGCAACTTATAAACTGGTGAGATTAAAAAAATCCAAAATGATGTGTGCTAAATTAAATCCAATTTGCCATAAGCAAATTGTGAAACAAATGAGCAGGCGTCAATCAAAAGGGGAAAGTGTCAGCAACAGAAACCACGTTTCTCCAGAATGGAAAACAACAAAATCTGATTATTTATTTGGGTGTTGTGGAGAGGCAATGTGGACTGATGGGTAGCGAGCAGGGCTCCGAGTCAGGAGATCTGGGGTCAAGTCTGTCTCTGCCCCATCCAGACCATCTCATTTAACCTCTCAGTGACCCAGGCAACTTTTCTCAGACTAGAAGTTGCTGAGAAGGTGCCCATTTCATTGAGAGAGAAAGCTCCTGATACCAAAGAAATCGCAGGTTTGATTTTCAAAAAAAAGTATTCGTGTGCCCTGTGGAGAGGGAAGATGTTTAGTATCATATTCAATTTTGCTCTTTTGACTCTTTGGTATTTTCTGACTTCCTCTTGAGTCAATGAAATAAGAAATGTTAAAATAAAAGCCTATTGTAAACACTTCCAAAAGCTGTAACCTAGTTTTCTGTTCTATCATCAGCCCAAGCATAGCATCAACAATCTACCTTTAAACATAGATGAAATACTGAGAAAAATCACTAATTTATAAATGCCTAGATTTCTATCACATGCTTGTTCTCCAGATATGTTCTTCATCAACCTTTGCTAATGGCTGTAATGAACAAGCTTCCCACAGTGGGTTGAGTGCCGGACTTAGAAACAGGAACACCTGGGCTCCAATCCAACCTCAACTAGCTTTGTGACCATTTGCAAATCACTACCCTTGTCTGAGCCTCAGTTTTGCCCTCTGGAAACTGGAGATAACAATACTTTTAGTACTTATCTCGAAGGACTGTTTTAAAGCTCAAATAAAAAAAGTATATGTGAAGCATTTTTCAAACTTTAAAGCACTATATTAAGTATTTGGCATTAATATCAGCATTCATGGCTAGTAAAAGTCTGCTCAAAGGAGTCATATTGCTTTCCCTGGGGATTTTATTACTTTCTCATACTACTATAGTGTAGACATCTTCTCTAAGAATCTCTGAAGATAAACTCTAAACCAAGTTTAATCAAAAGAAGAGGGCATTTTTATTAGCTACAGTAAGAGAAGGAATGTTTCTTTTCTTTTTAAAGGCACCCCTCAAACTCAAATGAAAATCCAAATTATCAGATGTTTCTCTAAAATCTTTGTAAAAGATGATCAAAGTATAGACAACTATTTGAAAATTTTCAAATACAACTGTACATTAAATAACATAACTTCATGGTTTAAGTTTAAAATATTTTTAGTGTCACAAGGCAATGAGTGATCATTTAGATGACATTTCAAAACTTCTTTTATCTACTGTAATCAATGAAAGAGTTATGCGAATAAGGAGTTCTCTAGCTCTCTCTCTCTCTTCCCACCCCCCCACCCCCCCAGTTATCCTGGAATTGCTTTCTAAACCATTAATCCTCATACAGACATTGATAATCACTAACTTACCTATGTGAAAATTCCTTTTTATATATGCTCAGGCATACTTCAATACCCCTCAGCCCCTCTACATCTCAAAATATGCTTTCATGATTTGCCATAGCCAAAAAATTAGTCATCAACTTTTGAGGATGGGCTTCTCTGAATTTAATTAGACCACACCTTGGGAGAAAATCTACCATCTGCCCAGTATAAGACTTCTCTCTAGCTTGGGAGAACCTGACAGCTTACACTCTGTAGGCAATAACTTTGAGAACCCACAGCTTAGACGATGATGTACATGTCAGAGGATGGCTTTACTGGCATACTACTTGTAAAAATGTATAAGGAACTACTACCATTTCCAAGGTTTTGTATACTTTATAATTCTTGCAAATATCATAGTTTGGAAATAAACGATCACAAAATTTCTGACTTGCAAAGTCTCAAAGATATTTAAAGTGAAAGATATATCAGATTCGGTTTAATTGGGAATCATTCGGAATTTTAGATAGTCAATTTAGCTAATCTGGGCCCTCAAGTACTTTTAATTTTATTATCTATACTTTCTGTCTATCTATATTGTCCCAAATTTGCCATGCCGTGTAACCCCACAGCCACTACAGATATCCCTTGCCATATTTTAAAAAATAATTTATTTGCATAGTAATCTTCAAAAGAAAGAGTACTCCAGTGTCATATTCAGGGTAATTTTTGTTTTTCCTATGAGGCAATGGATGTTTACTGTGAATGTCAATTAGCTGCATATTTCCAAGTAAGTAGAATGAGGACAAATTTAGGATGTGAAGAACAGTACTTTCTAACATCAGTTATTCTAAACTTTTAATTTAATGAGGTGGGAACAAGAGAATAGGAAAAAACATTTTGGGGGTAGTGCATCAATAAAGAAGGGTCTGATAGGTTTTCAGTTACAGTACATTTTATCCCTATTTTGGGTGCAGGAAAAAAGAGCTGAGAAATGTCCCCTGACCTGGCATTATTTTATTCATTTTGATCATTACACAGCTGTTCATACAATATATCCATGGAAAAAGATCTTGAGCCAATCAGGTGACAATAGAACCCATTCTACAAATGGAAATCAAATTCTACTGTGGAAATGGAAGAGATACTTTTGAATGGACTCCAGTCCTAGAATTGTCCTAATTTGATATGAATTTCTGAAAGACACACAATCCTATTCATACTGGCCATATCCTAAAACAAGGTGATGTCTCTCTGAATGTACTATATGCAAAGAGAAAAGCTGAAAACCTTATAAGCATAAACATACTGTAATAACTGAAGTATATGAACCTAGGGGACAGAATTCCCCCTTTGCCAAAAGAGGTGATAGTGCATTTTCTTTTATCTTTTTTTTTTTCTTTTTTTCAGAGGGGGAAGAATAGGCAAGGGGGGGGGGGGTGATGGAAATAAGAGAGAAAGAGAGAGAAACAACCATTTGGCCATTTGGTTTGCATTTTCAAATAGCCAACCCTGTTGTAGCATGGATTCCCCAGGAAACATAGCCCTTTAACTGCTGATTTTGGTGAGCATCTTGTTAATTGCCTGCTTGACATGTGTGGTAGAGCTTCGCCTCCTTGTCTTGCCCTGGACCATCTTCCGACGCCGGACCTCCCGGCACAGCTCATAGAAAACCTCTGTGATATTCCCTTCTCCGGTGCAAGCAGAACACTCATAAAATGCACAGGCCAGATCAGTAGCCAGCTTCTCTCCTTCTTCGGTACTAACTTGTCTAGAATGGTCTAGGTCAGCTTTGTTTCCCACTAAGATCAGAGTCACATTCTTAGGCTTTTTGATCTCATCCAGCAAGTTCTTAAGTGGGAGCACATCCTCAAAGCTTCCCCGGTCAGTAATGTCATAGACCAGCACAAAACCTTCTCCCCATCTCACATGTCCTTCCCTCTGAATAGCATCCTCCTGTTGAAAGAAAAATGACAATTGGGAAGCTTGAAGATAGTAGCATTAAGAGTAACAAACAAAGTCTTTCCTTATTTAGTATCAACTGTTGAATGCTACACAGCTCTGCAAGCCTAAAAAGTTATTCAGTAGTGCATTTATGGATGGACTTTCTCAGACAGTTTGGATAATAGAACCAAGGTAGTTTAATATCAGTAACCATGAGGATGCATAGTATCTCTACATGGTAAGTGCTTGGTAAATCTTTTTCATTCATTCATTTTATAAGAAACCTCCTTCCTAACTGACTGAGGCAGGAGTCAGAATTTTATTTGTCTATTAAGAGTTTACATCCCAAGCTTCCAACAGTTGGGGTGTGTGTGTGTGTGTGTGTGTGTGTGTGTGTGTGTGTGTGTGTGTGTGTGTCTGTGTGTGTGTGTGTGTCTGTGTGAAAGAGAGAGAGACACTGACAGACAGACACCAGGGTGCAACAGGAACACCAGAAGGTAGCTAAGAAATAGAGCATTTGGAAAGCTGCCTAAGAACAGTGAACAATGTGCATGCTGTAGCCTCCTCTATTAGACCATAAGCTCCTAAAATTCCTAGCAGGGACTGTCATTTTTCATCTTGGTATCATCAGCACCTTGACCAGTAACTTGCATAAGCTACGCACTTAACAAGTATTGAACTGAATTGGACTGGTTATAAAGACTATCACAGAAGTGGTAGTATATTAAATGCCTAGATAATTTTTGGGCAAAGCATTTCTTTGGTCATCAATCCAGGCTCCCAGATAAGTGCTCAGTTTTAATAGTTATACTAGAGTACTTTAAATTTATATTTCCCAGGCTATACAGACCCATCCTCATTTCATGATTTCATCCAGGATCCTAGTTTTGCTTCTTTCAGTGCCTAATCCAGAATACATTCTAATTGAACTCCTTACCTACCTGACCAGCTGTGTCTAGTATGTCCACGGAAAGAACTTCATCATCAATCGTTGCTTGATGCCGATAAGTTGATTCTGGGGAAAGGAGAAAAAAAAATATGATATTAATGAGATAAATGTGGTTCCTAAGACTTGGATCAGCACTAATGGAAATGCATTTTTTTGTGTTTATGTATAAGTATGTGTGGCATTTAAGTTTGTAATTCTATAAGACAGGAATCATGTCTTATCTTTTTATTTCTCTTCAGCTTCATGGGGCTCTGCACATAGCATGCAGTCAACATATTTGTTGAAATGAAATAATTGAAGCCAAAGTCACTACGGTCACTATAGTATGATTAGATATTCACAGCAATGATTAAAACAATGTAAGAAAGATGAGAATTCCAGCTCACATCCTGAATTACCTAGAAGTGTATAGTGACTTCTGTCTCACTATGTATTTATATATGTAGAGGACAGAACATGTGTGAGGGAGTGAGTGAGTGTGTGAGTGTGTGTGTGTGTGTGTGTGAGAGAGAAAAAAGAGAGAGAGAGAGAGAGGACTAGGGGACTAGGCAAAGAAGACTAGAGGCTATAATAACAATAATAATAATAATAATAACATTTATATAGTGCTTGTTATATGCCAAGGACTATGCTAAGTACTCTACAATTATTATGTCATTTGATCCTTACAAGAACCTCTGGGGGCAAGTGCTATTATTACCCACATTTTATAGATGAGGAAAAATGAGGCAAACAGAGGGCTAAGTGATTTGCCCAAATAATAAGTGCCTGAGGCTGGATTTGAATTGAGGTCTTCCTAATTCCAGGCCTGGTGCACTATCCAACTGCACCACATCTGAAAAAAAATTTATATAGCATTTACTATGTGCTAGACACTGCACTAAGTGCTTTATAATGATTATCTCATCTGATCCTCACAACAGCCCTGAGAATTAGGTGCTATTATTACCCCCATTTTACAGATAAACTGAGGTGAACAGAGTTAAGCGACTTGCCCAAGATCACACAGCTAAGTCTCTGAGGCCACATTTGAACTCAGGTCTTCCCTTCTCTAGGTCTGGCACTGTATATGCTGCCCTGTATATGTATCAACTCCAAGTGTTATACATATGTTCTCAGAGTAAAGTAGACGATTGATTGTTAACTTCAGGAGTGATGGGCTAGAATTTGGGAAACCAGGATCACCAAATTATAACACTGAGACAACTACTCCCTCTTTCCTCCATGTCCCTCCATCTAAGTATAAATCCTCTCTCCACTGAGGAAGCTGCTCTCCCCTTCTGTGATAATACCTGTCCATCCCAAATGTAGACCATCCTACCCTCAAGCAGGCACATGTGTAACTGGGTTTAAATATCTATGCCCTAGATGACAAGCATAAACTCCAAGCTTCAGGATGGCCCTGACCTTATGGTCAGCCCAAGTGCTAAAAACAGATGAGCGGACCTGCAGGATCAAGGCAGCAGCGATGAAAGAAGTGGTCCAGAGTGGGCATTTGGAAGTCTGGTGGACTTCTGGACCCTGGGATGAGTGGGAGCTTAAAGTCAAGAGTGAGGAATGTCCCCTTAAGGGCGCTGCTCCACAGATGGCTCAATGTGGACTGGACTCCACTGATTTGAGGGACAGTCAGTTCTAAGCTTCCCAGAGGATAATGAGTCACGCTAGGAAGAAACCACCAGGTTGTATGGGAGGCTGCTGCCAGCCTTCCTTCTCTTTCCCATTTGAACACTGATGTGCAAAGCCAAGAGTGAGAGCTTATTCCATGAGCAGCAGATGAGAAGCCTTGGTCTAAGGCTTGCACACATGAACAGGTCTTCTCCACTCCCGGGTAGAGAGTGAGACTCCCTGGCTCAAGTCTCCCTCCACACTGCTGCCCAAGGGATCTGCCTAAAGTTCGGGTCTAACCAGGCCATTATCCTACTCAATAAACTCAGTGGTTCTGACTACCTCAAGAGTATCAAATAGAAATTCTCTCACTTGGTATTTAAAGCTCTTTACAACTAGGCCTCAACTTACCTTTGCAACCTTGGACTTACAGGCCTACTCAAGACTTATAGGCCTACTCACTGTTGCTCTTATAAAATAATAATAATACATATATACCTATATAATAATACAAATATAGTTAACAGCTAACATTTCTATAGCACCTATTATGTGTCAGGCACTGTCCCTGACATATTATCTCATTTGATCCTCGAAGGAACCCTAAAAGAACCCTAGATGGTATTACTGCCCCATTTTACAGTTGAGAAAACTGAGGCAAGCTGAGGTTAAGTGACTTGCCCAATGTCACACAGTTAGTAAGTATCTGGATTTGAACCAGGTCTTCCTGACTTTAGGCTGTCCTTTCTCCACTGAGTCATCTAGCTGCTCCATTTCTATTCTTCATGCCTTTGTACTAGTTGACTGCCGTTGTCTGGAAAACACTCCTTCCTCTCTGCTTTCCTTCAAGACAAAACTCAAGCACCACCTTTTGCAGCTCTTGTATGTTGTCTATGTGTGTGTGTATATGCATGTATATATAAATCACATATATGTAAGCATATACATATACAAACACATACACACACATATATGTACACACACACACATATTCTCTCCCCTTTTAGTATGTAAAATGTAAGCTCCTTAAGGTCAGGGATTGTTTTGCTTTTGTTTTTGCACAGAGAACACCTCACCCTAACCTTCTGGGCCTTAAATCTGAGCCTGTTTGCCTGCAAAAAGACTGCCTCACCTTCTGGCAGTGCCCTGACCCCTCCTGCTTGCACAAAGACCATCCCACTTGAGAACAAAGCGCCAATCCCCAACCTGTAGCCTAGACTCCAGGGTAGGGCCCAAGACACTGTGAGTGTTCAAAGCATTTGCCATCTTCTACTCTACTTCTACTACTACACTTACACTTACTACTACTAGTACTCTACTACTACTACAAACTTCTACTAGTAATACTCCTAAAACTTACCAAACTCATACTACCTGTTACTCTCCCAATCTAACACACTTCTCTTTATTTTGAACCCCTTCCTCTGCTACTCACAGAGACCTAGCTCCTCCCCAGTGACATGGCACCACAAGTCATTTTCTCCAGCACCAGCTGTACCTGTTTAACCTGCATCATCTTGGGCCTAGAGGGGCGTTTATAATACTCTTTGTTCTCTCCTTCTACTATGGGATGCTTTTTGCTACTGTAATCACTTAGAAACCTCTCTTCCTCTGAAGTCTTACCCAATCAGAATCATGGTGGTTGCTGTCATTCGCCATCTTTTCTCAAGGAGTTTAGTACCAGGCTTATAGGCTTCCTCTCTTTCCCAACTCCTACCCTTATGCCAGAGGACTTAAACATATATTAACATATATAACATTGTTATTACTATGTTGTCATTAATTATTAATGTATCAACATATACACAACATTAATACAGAAATATCAGTGTTCCCTCAAACAGCCTACTCTCTTAGTTCATCAATTTTCTCAAATTCCACAACCCCTATTTCTCCAGTTGCTATCAGCCACACACAGGGATGCTCATGCCACTGATCTTAACATCACCTACAAAGGCTCCACCTCGATCAAAACCCTGGAAATGCCTCAGATGATCATTATTTCCTATCATTTGATATTAGCCTGCACCTTACTCCTCCTAAACCTAATCTGTGACTTCCAAACCATTTACCCCTCAGAACTCTCTCTGGGACAAGGGCTATTTCATGTTGTCTCTGTGCCTGGCACATGGTGGACACCTAATACATGTCTGTTGTTGGATTGCTTTCCTCACCACTCCATAAAAAAGGACACAGATGTTCTTTTTTTGTCGTTTAGCTTTCTAATGTGCCATTTACAGCCAGAGTGCTCGAAGAAATATTCTGCCTTCATCATTTTTATCATCAGTGCTCCAGTTTGACCCTGGAGAGCCACAGGAAATGTCACACATGCTATAGGCACATATTCATCCCCTTCCCTTCTTCCTTTGATGTTTCTTGTAGTGTCTCTTATCCTTGCATCTTTGCTGACTTCCTCTTTTAAATGATTAGCATTATTATTGAAGCCTTGACAGAAGCCAGAGTTTGGGGCTATATTTCATCTGCTTCTTGGTCACCTAAAAAATAAGGGTGATTTTCACTATGCCTTCCACAACAAATTAGATATGAATTTCAAGCACAGAATTCCTCAGGAAGGAGAAATGAAACATAATAAAAATGATATGAAGTTATGTGATCATTTAGCTGTTTGCTAACAGAGAAAAAAAGACTAAATGTAGGAAATGAGGAAATGTCTGCTGCAACAGTGACAGTGGGTGGTAGAAGTAATTTTATCTGCTCTGAATACCAGCTTTACACAAGTGTGGATATTTTATTTGAACTTACTTCCTTTCTAGTTAAGGACTGTGCGTTTTCTCAGGCAAACTCATTAGAAGTTGTGCCTACAAGGGCTTCATGCATATATATTAGGGGTTTTCTTTGCTTTAAGAAATGTCTTTTTATTGCTATATTTTTCTCTGACACAACAGCTACTACCCAACAAAGAAAGACTCCTCCTTACACATAATGTATATTTCCTGAATATGGTTTAGCAAAACCCCCTAATAATTCTGAGTGAGGCTACACTCAGAAAATGACTTGTGGTGCCATGTCACTGGGGAGGAGCTAGGTCTCTGTGAGTAGCAGAGGAAGGGGTTCAAAATAAAGAGAAGTGTGTTAGATTGGGAGAGTAACAGGTAGTATGAGTTTGGTAAGTTTTAGGAGTATTACTAGTAGAAGTTTGTAGTAGTAGTAGAGTACTAGTAGTAGTAAGTGTAAGTGTAGTAGTAGAAGTAGAGTAGAAGATGGCAAATGCTTTGAACACTCACAGTGTCTTGGGCCCTACCCTGGAGTCTAGGCTACAGGTTGGGGATTGGGGCTTTGTTCTCAAGTGGGATGGTCTTTGTGCAAGCAGGAGGGGTCAGGGCACTGCCAGAAGGTGAGGCAGTCTTTTTGCAGGCAAACAGGCTCAGATTTAAGGCCCAGAAGGTTAGGGTGAGGTGTTCTCTGTACTTGATTGTTAATGGAAAGGATGAGTTATTTGA